CGACCTTAGGTGAGTCCATGGTTGCCATACACGTCGATGATATGTGTGTTGCCTTCAGTAACCCCTCCGAACTAGTGTCAATTGTCATGATACTAAGGAAGGTCTTTGAGATTGTGGATTTAGGAGAAATAAAATGGTTCCTTGGCATGGCCGTCACACGAGACAGACAAGCCAGAACTATTTCCTTATCACAAGCGGGTTACATCAACACAATTGTTGATCATTTTGGTCTAAAGAATGGTTACACTGTGGCGACTCCCATGGACACAAACGTAAAGCTCTCTTGCGATATGTCCCCAAAAACGAATGTCGAAAAAGATAAAATGTCCAAAATACCTTACCGTGCTGCTATAGGGTCACTTATGTGGCCTGCAATTGCAACCAGACCCGACATCGCTTTCGCAACAAACAAACTCAGCCAGTACAATAGCAATCCTGGCCCTGCACATTGGAACGCAGTACAATGTATCATTCACTATCTAAAAGGAACTAAGGACATGACTCTCGTTTTAGGAGGCGCAAACCCCATCACACTTTACTCTTACACCAACGCTGACCATGTGAGCTGCCTAGATTCACGACAATCTACATCTGGCTATGTATTCAACCTTGGGAGCAGTGCCATATCCTGGAGCTCAAAACATCAAGCCACTGTCTCCACCTCCAGCTGCGAGGCTGAATATATAGCTAGCTGCCACGCCACTAAGGAAGCCATATGGCTTAGACATTTACTCACCGCTAAAAATCATCCCCAGGAAACTTCACTCATATACAGTGACAACAATGGCACCATCACCCTTACGAACGACCCTTCTTTCCACGCCGGTTCCAAACACATCGACATCCAATATCACTACACTCGTGAACGTGTCAAAGACGGTGAAGTTCATTTTAAACACCTACCAGGCTCTGAAATGCCTGCAGACATTTCAACAAAAGGGCTAGGTAGACCTCTCCATTGGAAGTTCATGCATTCGTTAGGTCTCAGGGGGAGTACACAGTGGGAAAATCTGTCTTTATCCCACTGAGGGGGAGTGTTGGAGTTCGAGCATGCTACACAAGGACCCACACAGTAGAGACCTTAAGCCTGCGGAGTCGCAATACCATCCCTCAGTCGTTACACCTACATTGTGTACCCTGAGGTACGGTATCCCAACAAACCTACATGCATATAGTTATTCTAACCGTCTCCTATGTATACAGTTAACTCTAGCATAGGTAATACACCTAGTCGTTACACCTACATCGTGTACCCTGAGTTAACTCTAGCATAGTCTGACATCTAACACCCTTGTGCTTATATACTTTGTATTCCCATCTGCCAGTGCCTAGTGTGATATTCCACTGCACCTGGAGGTTGCTCTATACACACCCACATCACCCCCCTCTCACTCTCCCCTTTCACTCCTTTTTCCAATCTGCCCCTGAAGACCTTGCTTTGTTCAGTTCAGTTTTCACAATCTGATGGAACCATGTGAGCTGCTGTAGTATGCGCAGTTATTCACTCACATGTCAGCCCAAGCCTTTCAGATGATAGGGCCAAGCCAAATGGTAACAGAATGGATGGGAGGTGTGGGGAAAGCACAGATGGAGGAAGAGAGGAGCAAGGGAATGGGGGAGTAGATGGGGGGGCAGAGGAAGGAGTGGACTTGGCCCCAGGTTGTATAAATAGTACAGACAGTCGCTGACCAATCTCTGTTGGCATGAATGGAAAGTTCTTCTTTTATTAGCTTTAGAAATCACACAGGTAGAAACACAAATATATACTTTGACTTGAAAATCTGGTTATTACTTGATTCAATTGCTTGAAGCAATATCTCTTTTGGTTCAAAAAGAAGAAATTGAAAATTTTCTAAAGTAAAAACTTATCTACACTTCGTTCTATTAAAATTTGAGATGGACCAGACACGACTGGACGGGATAAAGCCTGATATTGCGAGATGTGACATGACCACGCGCGTGTCAATCTTCACTGGGAGGCCTGATCCCGAACCCAAGCACACGAGCATTAGTCAGCCGTGATGTGTGATGGGTCACAGTGGGTGTACTTTCAGTCACAGTCAGTGCGCCATTAACGTCAAGTCGCCAGCGGCGATAGGGCGTTCTACTCGTCGGAGATTGCAAAATAATATGTACGACAAATGTTCAAAATAGACAACTAGCGTCATAATTCCTGGAAAACTTGCAGCTCTAGATCAGACTGCGACAGCCCTGCCAGACTATCGCCTTTTTTCACTCCCTTTTAGCCAACTTTAAGGCGTTCCTTCCGCCCAGCCCTCTTTACCTCCTACTATGAGCACCCGGCGAGTTAGACGTCCCAGCGACTCATGGTCACGCTCTGAATATGAAGAGAACCATTTCGTCAAAGAGACCGGCACATCGACCACTGGCGTCGAGGAGAGTGTTCCTATGCAGCGCGGTGAGGTGACGACACACAACCTTGGTAATGCCGTCCCTTCAAACGGCGAGGCTGCTATAAACATTCGTGCCACAGAGAATAACTCTTCTCTCCTAGACGGGCATGTAATGGACAGCTTGAACTCTGCGGTTGAAGTTGGTCCTGGCGAGGATTTGGGTGCAAATATTCTCACACCTGAGACTGCCGTTCAAATTGCGGATCCTCCTCTTCATCGACAACCCGACGAAACAGCATCGAAGAACCCTCCCGAATCTTCTTTTTCACGTGGCGGAGCGGCTTCAAACAAACCTGCAACTAAGATAGTGCGTGACGGAGACTCGGAGCCCAGCCCAAGCCAGCCAACCGTTGAAACGAGTCATCTTCTCCAACGTCCGGAGGCAATTGCAAATAAAATTCCTGTGGAGACTAGCTTTCTTCTTCCAAGTGGAGAATCAGCCAATAAACCGACACCTTTGCCAAAACTTCAAGTCGCTGCACTTCTATTCGTCTTTCTTCCTGAATCCGTAACATCAACTCTCATTTATCCATTTATTGTCCAAGTGAGTAAATCATCATATGGCGTTTGAGACTGCTCAACCAGCACTTAATCATCATGTTTAGCTCGTTAGGAGTTTAAATATTGTCAAAGGCGACCCAGCAAGCGTAGGCTATTACTCTGGTCTTATTGTATGTTATGTTTGTTCTCGCCCTATCAGCCATTTCTCCCTTACTTGGAAAAAACTTCTGTAAGGAATCATGCTTTTTCGTTACAGAAGCCATATTTGTTTTTTTCTGGGCTCGTGTCTCAGATAAAGTTGGCCGGAAACCCGTCATTCTCTTCGGGTCATTTGGCCTCAGTATTGCTCTTCTATGTTTCGGTTTATCCACCTCGTTATTTGGCGTCATGGCCAGTCGTGCCTTACAGGGTAAATAGACTTTTAAGCCTTCAATCAGTCATTGAATAGAATTTTCCAGGCGCTTTGAATGGTAATACCGGTGTTGTTAGAGCAATGTTATCCGAGGTACATTTCGCCCTTTTTAAAATAATCTTATTCAAACATCGTCTGTTTCAGGTTACGGATTCGTCTAACAGAGCGCAAGCCTTTTCATTCACGCCTATTGTGTAACTCCATCATCATTTCATCCGTCTTTCCGTTAATTGAAATATCACAGGTGGGCGAGCGGTTCAACACTCGGGTTTGTTCCTCGTTATTCGATTTTATCTCGAATAACAAATATATAGACCCCTTGTCGGTGGGATGCTTGCTGACCCCGCGAATCGCTTTCCCGCGTTCAAAAATTGGTTTTGGCACCGGCATCCATACTTGCTTCCATCCATGGCCGCAGCATTACTCTCCTTGGTCGCATTTACCTGTACTGTATTTTTCATTAAAGAGGTGAGTTCTCTCAGCCCTTAGCCACCATTGCCACCCAGTCAAGCCTTTACAGACAAACACAGTAGCGTCCAGCTTTATTTCCAAATTTACAGGCCTAAAAAAACCGGCGCATATATCCTATGGTACCATCACACAAGAGTCCAACGGGCACTCGTTAGCAGCTGCAGCAGTCGACGAGACCTCGACGCCGATCGACGACTCCAAGATATCAGACCTTTTTACGAAACGCCTCATCTGCGTGCTTGTAAACCACGCACTGCTAGCCGTCCTCGACCACTCCTACATTGCACTTGTTGCCGTCTTCCTTGCCACTCCCATCACCTCTGGCGGACTCGGGCTCTCACCTTGGCAAATAGGCGGAATCCTTGGTATGACAGGCCTTGTTCACGGCGTGCTTCAGGCATTCTGCTTCGCCCCGCTGTATCGCACTTTCGATCCGAAACAATTGTACACATTTTGCATCGGAATGATCATCCCTGCGTATGCATGCTTCCCCTTTATTAATGGGCTCGCGCGGGCGCATGGGGTGGGATATCCCGGCCTGTGGGTACTTCTAATCTTTCAACTATTTTTGCTCTTGCCAAGCTACACGGCATTCAGTGCGTATTCATGTTTTCGGCTAAAGATTATGTTCTTTTTGCTATTTTTGTTGTAGGCGCCATGTTTATCTTTATCTCCAACTCTTCGCCGACCCCGGCACTGCTCGGGACGACGAACGGTCTTGCACAAACTATTTTCTCCTCTATGGGTGCGATTGGTCCCGCTGGCGTAACTGTAAGCTCGGGTCCTACCTTTAAAAAAATTTCTTATCGATTCTGCTCCTTTATAGTCATTGTTTGCGCTCTCAATGGAGCACAATCTTCTCGGCGGACACCTCGTCTACGTGATCATGTGTTCCCTCGGTGCTATTGCCGTGCTCGCAAGTATATACCTTCTTCCTGAAAAACCAGGAGAGGAAGTAGCGCCACCGTCACCTTGGAGATATGATTAGGTGTAACAGAGAAAAGGGTTCCCTAGACCTGCGGCTTTTTCTCTTTTTGAGCTTCTAAGTCATTGTATATACCAGGTGGTAATCTCTGTCTGCTTATTATTCCAGCTCGAATTTGAATACGTTTGGCGGGCTAGCGTAATTAAATAACTTCTCGGGAATAAGATGAATGCAGGCGCTCACTTTTGTATATACATAATATTTGTATGTGCTTGTCGGTCTGATGGTCTAGAGGTATGATTCGCTCTTAGGGTAATTTGTCAATCTCAAATGGGCGAGGTCCCGGGTTCAATTCCCGGTCAGACCCTTTTCCCATTTTTGAATCAGTCCTCATACATTGTGCGCTTTGACGGATTACTCTTGACATGTCCTCCCCTGTCGGACAGACATCTAGGAAATTCAAAGATGATCCAACATCCACACTTGCTGCGCATGGCATTTTGCAGTGTGCGCCGCAAGGAATCTCTTCCGGAATTTGAGACCGGATCTGAGTGAATCATCGATGAGCTGATCACGAGAGGCAAGCTGAACGCAGAAATTCACAAGACCGTCTCCGTGATCGATGGCGTGGCTCTTCCAGAGACACCCATCTAGGGGGAAGCATTTGGGGCATGCGCATTGAATTTGATCAGGTCCCTGCGAAAAGAACGGACCAGGGAAGTTTTTATGTTTATTTTTGCTTCAAGTTTAGAGAGTGTGAAATTTCTTGATTGATTAATAAGGCTGCTCTGCCGGCGTGCACTTATTGTACTAACTCACAGCGTGACCAAAAGAAACTAAAAAAGAACAAATACTGGTATCGCTCTCGAAGGTCAGGAATGTAAAGGTTAGCGTGTGGTGTGATAGGGTGGTTGCGACCCGGTAATCTAATCAAGCCCGAGCACAACCAAAAGGGTCTGACCGGGAATTGAACCCGGGACCTCGCCCAAATGTAGTGAACAACCATCCCTAAGAGCGAATCATACCTCTAGACCATCAGACCGATGACTAAACAAATATTTTATTTTCCATTGATAGCAGCTGATATGTTCTTTCATCCTCCGAACGCCTCGGTACCACAGAGCAGCAGCGCTCCTAAGACAAGGACGGAGAAGAGCCAGATTTGGACTGATTGCCCCAAGACCATTGACCCAGCTGCAGAGCGTGATTCTGGCCACGGGAAATACGTTGAACAGTTGCCGGAAATAATGGGTGTCGGAATGAGACGGAGTGCCGCAGAATAGCAGGAAGCAAAAGAAAAGAGAATATCTACGACCGAGATCGTGAGAGTTGTGCGGCGCACTCCATGATACTCACTCCAAAGACGTTGGATGTTGGGAGATGGAGTCCGCGTCGGTCGCGGAGGGAGAAACCGGCGTCTGTTTCGATACCTAAAACGGTAAACGGTTTGGAATAGGCTTGGAATACAGGCGGTGCTCCTCCATGGTGCTCCTCTAGAATCCCTCAGAATTCCGCCTTATTTGCAGCGTTCTGAACTGCGTTTCCCCACTAGGAAAGCAGAGGCGGGAGGCGGAACCACCTTGGCCGTATATTTCCCAAACAGGGGCCTCGTTATGGAGTGTAATCACATGAAAACAAAACGACGGCTGCAAATATTTGTCCTATAAAACCAGTCATAGCTCTCCGCTCCCCCCCTCCCCCTCACCAATTATGTCAACTACTGAACGTCAAGCCTTCAACGAAGAAGTTAGACAGGTTCAGGAGTGGTGGAAGGTATGTGCAACTCCCCCGCCTCCCTTGCCTTCAATAAACCCCCCGTAGTCCCCTCGCTTTGCACGAACAAAGCGTCCATACACTGCCGCAGATGTCGTCTCAAAACGAGGCTCCATTCGCGTTCAATACCCTTCAGACCTCCAGGGCAAGAAGTTGTGGAATATCTTACAGCAGCATTTCAAAGATGGCACCCCAAGCCATACATATGGCGCGTAAGTCTTCTAGACGGGCTATGCCTGGATATGGGCTCACCGGTCTGCTAGTCTCGACCCTGTACAGGTGACGCAGATGGCTAAATACCTCGAAACAGTATATGTGTCTGGGTAGGTCACCCCTCTCCGAGTACGTACGTATGCTCCTGACATCACCAACAGATGGCAATCAAGCAGCACTGCATCTTCTACTAACGAGCCCGGACCAGACCTTGCAGATTACCCTTCAAACACTGTTCCGAATAAAGTCCACCACCTTTTCACCGCTCAACTCTTCCACGACCGAAAGCAGCGCTCCGCCCGTCTCTCAGATCCCTCTGCGGCATCTTCACCGCCCATCGATTATCTTCGCCCCATAATTGCTGACGCCGACACCGGACACGGAGGTCTCTCCGCGGTTCTCAAGCTGACCAAAATGTTTGTCGAAGCTGGTGCCGCTGCAATCCACGTCGAAGATCAAGCACCGGGCACCAAGAAATGCGGGCACATGGCCGGCAAGGTCCTCGTCCCGACGCAAGAGCACATCGACCGCCTCGTCGCGATCCGCCTCCAATATGATATCATGGGCGTAGAGAATCTAGTCATTGCGCGCACCGATGCGGACGCCGCGACGCTCATCATGTCCGACGTCGACGCGCGCGACCAGCCGTTCGTCCTCGGCTCTACTGACCCCTCGCAGGAGCCACTCACACACGCCATGGCAGCCGCTGCGCTCAAAGGCGCCAATGGATCCGCCCTCCAGGCGGTTGAAGACGCGTGGCTCGAGCGCGCGAACCTCCAGACCCTCCCCCAAACCCTTTCCGGGGCCCTCAAGGCAAACGGCGCGCACGCAGCGACTGTTGAACGCTTCCTCGCCGCGGCCGCCACGGCGTCGTATTCGGAGGCACTGCACATCGCACACTCGGCACCGTTCAACCTCCCTGCCAACAAACGTCCCTTCTGGAGCGCAAGTCACCCGCGTACTCGAGAGGGATATTTTCGCATTCGTGGTGGAACGCCTATGTGTATCGCGCGTGCGCATGCGTTCGGTCCTCATGCTGACCTTATCTGGATGGAGACTGCGAAGCCGGTGCTCGAACAGGCGCGCCAGTTCGCGGAGGGTGTGCACGCGGTGGACCCTACACAATGGTTAGCGTACAATCTGAGCCCGAGCTTCAACTGGGATGCAGCGGGCTTAAAAGGAGGGGACATGCGCGAGTTCGTGTGGAAGTTAGCAAGGCTCGGATTCTGCTGGCAATTTATCACAGTGCGTATAAACGAGATATCCGATTTTTTTTTTCTGCTTATGTGGAGTTGTTAGCTTGGCGGTTTACACTCAAACGCATACATCTCAGACCTGTTTGCGAGTGCATTCGCGAAGGAGGGCATGAAAGCTTATGTAGAGCTCATCCAGCGTAAAGAACGCGACATAGGCTGCGACGTTCTTACACACCAAAAGGTAGTTTACTACCCTATATCAGCAATAATTTTCTTATCAGCTTCTGCAGTGGTCCGGCGCGGAGCTCATCGATCAACTGCTCATGACCGTCACCGGTGGCGTCTCGTCTACTGCAGCGATGGGCAAGGGTGTCACTGAGTCGCAATTCACGGCTCCCATCCAGATAGAAGCGAAGGGCAAGCTTTAGCGGTGGGAGTACATATTTGAGAGTTCATAAAAGTTTCTGTGTCCTCGTATTTTGTAGTCGGTTTGTAGCGGCAAATAAATGTAGTTCTGATTATATGTACGACGTTAATTGGCATTGTGCATAATAATGAAAAGTCGCAAATCCCAATACCTACTGCATTATGAGACCCCTTGATCATCACTCGGACCAGATATGATTGTTAAATGTTAGTAGAGTTCAGGTGTGAATCAGATTGGAGACCCAAGCATATACACAGAAATGAGATCGAATTGAGCGCCCGCTTTAGGCTTATTCGTGCTACATACAGCGTACAAAGCAGGACGAAGAGCCACAGTTGTAGATAGGCCCTGCAATTTCACAGTTCTTCCGGAGGAGAGTAATGAACGTTTGAACCTCAAGGCACCTTCGCGATCTGCAGCATTTTGATAGTTGGTCGTCCAACTCTGTCTCAGGCCGTGTGCTTCTGCAGAACGAGCTGTGAGCCTGATTTACCGCTTAGGCTCCAGTGGGGTATGGTCAAGCTCATACTCCCCAGGAAGCGATGACGGCAGCGTCAAGCGGTGGTTCGTTCGCATGATCTACTCCGTAGTCCTGGATTTCGTAGGGCTCTGAAGGGTTGCCACGATACACTGCGTCCATCTCGACATTGACAATGGCGGTGTTCACGATGGACAAATCGGCGTACTCCATTGCAACTTTGCTAAATTTTCATATGAGAGAGATGATCACAATGGACATTGGGCGGGTGATCGTACCACGCTGTCCTCATTGAACTCGCAGAAGACATGATACATTTGATGACATCGTCGAAGTCCCTTTGCCTCCCCCAGCGTTGACAATTTACCAGACAGTGTCGCCTGACTCTGTATTCTTGTCTACAACGATGAAAGGCTTTTTAACACGCGCCTGTGCTTTAAGAGCCTCAGCCTCTAAGACCTGCATAACTACTTCGGGCGTTTTGTCGTACAAATCTTCGTGAAGGTCGATTCGGAGTGTGACATGCATGTGTGCAATGCTCTTGTGCTCCAAGCACAAAATGGGCCCAAAATTTACGAAACACAGCTGTAGAGAGTTGGGAGGTAAAATGTTGGCATTGTATCGACGACCAGAACCTTATCGCTGGAGTCACGGTAGAGCATGTCTGTGGTGACGTTGTGACGGATTTATGGAAGGAAAGCTAGAGCGCGGCTCTTTATTGTATGGGACACGCATTCGGACGGCATGTTTCTAGGATGTGCATCTAATGATGCTTGGCAAAATACCAGCAAGACCAGCCGTTGTGGCCCCGGGTGGGCGCCTCAAGCCAAAGCACGTGACCTTCAACGCGAGTGACACGTCGCGCTCGTTATTCAACAAAACAAATTGACTCGGTGTCATTGTAGCACCTCCCTCCCGGATATAACGATCGCTGTTTGCATCGCTGGATATATAGTGCGCACTCGTGGTTCTATACAAAATGCCACTCACATGTTGGTATGCCAGATTTCTTCTCTTTCGGCGCCCAACAGGACTTAAGCAACTGGTGCGCACCTCTTTTAATACGCTGAGGTTGCATAAAGATAAACTATATAGCTCCTGTGGATAACCTCTAGAAATCGGGCAGCTTCCCGACCACCGTGTCAAGATGCCTCCACCACGTCCACTCTCCCCACTTCTCCTTGGCGCGCTACTTCCCATCTCAGGATGGTTCATTTTACGACCTCTGACTACACCTCTTCCACTCGCCGCATTGAGTGCCTCGCTTGGCTTCTCCATCCTAGCGTTTTTGTCTACACTGTTCCTCATACCCGCCCTCGGTCCAGCATTTGTCAAGGTAGGTCTAAAAGGACGTGATCTGCTTAAGAAGTCCAATGAGCATATGTGAGTGCAGCCATTGTTAGTGAGGGGCTGGTCACATCTGATGCATAACGGCGCGAACGTCACAGCCCGGAGAGCATGGGTCTCATCTGCGCATCGATATATATCTTACTTTTGATCATATTTATCCCGTTTCCATTCTCTTCCTTCTTTGTTGAAACCAAAAATGCGTCAGAAGGCCTTACACAGGTGGATTTTCCGCTCGCACAAGTCAGTGCCGCACTTTAAGCTATGTTAGCTTTGTCTCACTGAGACAGCCTGGCAGCTCTCCGTTTATCTCTCTGCGATACTTTCCCTCTTGATGGCGACTCTGCTTGGATTTGTAGATGATTTATTTGATGTAAGATGGCGGCATAAGCTACCCATACCGCTCATTGCGTCAATTCCGCTTCTGTTGGTATATTATGCTGAGCGCGGCAACACCCATATTGTCGTTCCGAAGCCCTTTCGTTCCATTTTCGGGCAGATTATGGACCTTGGTATGTGTAACTCCATGTCCCCATCTTTGATGCTAAAATACCAAGTAGGCCCGCTATACTATTTTTACATGTCGCTCTTGTCGACATTTTCGACTA